TGAATAAATTATGTTTCAGAAAGAACCTGAGGACAAGGTAGAACGTGGGAACAGACTGGAGCAGGCATCCCCAAACTTTTTACACAAGGGGCCAGTTCACTGTCCCTCAGACCGTCGGAGGGCCGCCACATACTGTGCTCCTCTCACTGACCACCAATGAAAGAGGTGCCCCTTCCTGAAGTGCGGCGGGGGGCCGGATAAATGGCCTCAGGGGGCCACATGCGGCCCACGGGCTGTAGTTTGGGGACACCTGGACTGGAGTCAGGGAGACTAGTTAGGAAATTGTTGCTTTTCAATATACCTGGTGGTAGAATTTGCTGTTTTCTTCACTGTCTTCAAGAGAATGGGGATAGAACATCGAGTAATATGAAGATTCTCTGTCTGTTTTTATTGATGATCAAATTCTCCCCATTGACTGTAGTATAAAAGCATCTTCCATGAACTAAGTAGAAATGAATAGGAGTAAACAGTAATTTTTATAATCTACAAATGCATCACTAGTGTTTTCCTCCTGCCTTCAGCTATCCTTTTATTTTTCTTCTTTTCCCTTTTATTTGCTCTTAATATTTCAACCACAGCATGGTAAGAGAAGTAAGAATTTGAAATGTACTTGCTCCTTTTTCTTTTCTTCTTTGTGCTTTTGAAAAAGGGCCAAACACTTGTAATGGCAGTGATTTAAAAAAAGAAAAACTTTACATATAGCACAGATAGCTTCCTCCTAAACCATTTTGAAAGGTCCAAATTCAACAAAATAAATGATTCTTTCTTGTACCTTGTAGGTGTACTTAAAAAAACTATGAACATAAATACTGAAAATTAGAAGCACAGGCCTTTCGAGTTCAAAGAGACCTTAAGAGAAGGAGCCCATGTCACCCATTTGTAGGTGAGAAAGCTGAGGCTCAGAGTACTGGAGAGAGTTCACCGGGGTCCGGACACCAACCTGAATGAGGACTCATTGTTTCTACGGCTAGCACATGTGCCTCCCCAGAACGAGAAGAAAGGATAAATCTGTGACATTTAGCAATTGGGAAAATTGCCTCAGGCTTTTTGTGTACTTAAAAATAAAAATAGGATAAAATTTGAATTTCAAAGAGAGGTCCAATAGTTAGAAGCTATCAAATAGGAAGATATTTGAAAAGATAGAACATGGCGGCATGCTGTGAGATTTTTAATACGTTGTCTATTTTAGTGCTGTTACTGAAATATTGTGACACCAAGATACAGCATTGCTCATTAACAAGCATATAATTTTGCTGTTGACTGTTTTGGATGTCTTAAACTGCCAGTTTTTAGTTTCTCAAATATCATTTTAACTTGAATTTTATAACATAGGAGACATTTTAGGGAAAACCAGTGATGCCCACACTAAAACTGTCTACTCAGGTGCACACCAGGCTCTTCTGGAGGTCTCACTGTCACTGTGTTGATAGACACTTCTACAAAAGCAAAATAAACAATTGGGAGACATAAGTCTGTGCTGAGATGGCAAGGCATAAGCTCCTACCACCATCAATCTGTGTCACACTGAAATGTCTATTCTTTTTCCATATCAGCATATATGGTAACATATAATGACATGCAGTTTAAAGCTCATTATTCTCTATTTTTTTTTTCAGTCCCTGCCTTGGGCATATACAGTTTTCAGCAATATGAAGATTAGGGTTTCTGGGAGGAGAGAAGAGGAAGGTGGAATAAACATAACATGATCATAGCAATTTTATTATATGCATAAGTAACTAAATAAAAGGTGATCAAAGTGTCAGCTTTATTACTTGATGATGGTTGAATTGAAGGATGGGGTTTGGATAATCAGGAGTAACAGATTTCTTAATATTGAGCCCTAGAATTGGACATACCCACCCGCTCTGGATAGCATGGAGTAGCCTTAGTTCTATGTGAGATCCTCTCTTGCAGCTCTGCTCAGCATGAATGCTCTCAGCTCAGCTCGGCTCAGCTCAGCGTGTATTCTCTTGAGAGGTAGGGAACGGGTGAGACTGAATGAACTTCAAGTTCCTTCCACCAACTAAGCAAGCAGATTAAGTCACATCATCTCCCCTGTGGGGAGAAGTAGGAGGCTAAGGGTTTTGGAGAATCTTCCCTCTTCTTGGGAAACAAGAAATAAGAATCCCCTTCTTTCCCATGTGGATGAGAGAGAGGAGGAGTCAAGGTAACGAACCCTTTTGGAACCTCAGTGGTCTTATCTGTGTAGTTAAATTCCCTGTATTCAGGAAGTTGAGAGAATAAAAGGCATCTATGTATGGTGCATGGCCTGGTGACTGGTGCAGAGTGAGTGCTGAAAAGACAGTAATGATTCCATTCCATCTTCCTTAGGACAATCCACGTGTTCTTCTTTGCCCTTATTTTGGTTGCATATTCTTTCTTTCTTTTTTTTTTTTTTTTTGAGACGGAGTTTCGCTCTTGTTACCCAGGCTGGAGTGCAATGGCGCGATCTCGGCTCACCGCAACCTCCGCCTCCCGGGTTCAGGCAATTCACCTGCCTCAGCCTCCTGAGTAGCTGGGATTACAGGCACGTGCCACCATGCCCAGCTAATTTTTTGTATTTTTAGTAGAGACGGGGTTTCACCATGTTGACCAGGATGGTCTCGATCTCTCAACCTCGTGATCCACCCGCCTCCGCCTCCCAAAGTGCTGGGATTACAGGCTTGAGCCACCGCGCCCGGCCTTTGGTTGCATTTTCTAACCAAGTTTCTGATTTGGACAAGTGGATGTCACTCTCTGAAATAAAGTCAACATGAGAAAGAATGGATGTGTGAGGAATAGCAAGGTCTTTTTTTTTATTGACTGAAGCATGTGTCAGTAGGTGCAGGAGACAATGAACCAGTTGATTTGTAGCTCAGCTGGAAAATTAAGTAGTTAAGGCTGCTAATGGGACTGAAGACTGACTCTGAAGGATATAACACCCCAAGGAGCAGCAGAGGGTAGGAGTTACAGAGGAGGTAAAAAGTCAAGAGGCTAGAGAATGAGGAGGAAAACTGGGAGAATGGGCAACATAAAAGTCAAGGAAAGGGATCATTTAGGAAGGAGGAGGGAGTCAACTATGCCAGATGTTGCAGAGGGGCTGGGTAAAATAGGCAGAAACAGAACAAATAGATTTGCAGAGAGCCATAGCCATTATTATAATAGCTCTTAGGTACTGAGCACTGACTATACGCCAGGCACTGTGTTAAATGCTTCACACACTATATGGATTTAATCCTTAAAAACACCCTTAATTTTATAGAGAGGGTAAGTGAGACCCAGAAGAGTTTATGCCAGCTTGGCTTAGGTCACAGAGCTTGGAGGTGACAGAGCTGGGACTCGGACCCCTGCCATCTGATGCGTAACCACACAGCCCTCCCTCCTCTGGAAGACTGCTTCTGCCCATGTGGTGGTTAAGGAAGCCAAACTGCTGATGGGAAAGAGGTGCCCCCATCTCCAGGGGAGGGGAGGGAGCATGGCGAGTGGAGGAGGGTAGGCTGAGGTTTGTCTTGGTTTGTTTGTTGTAAGATGGCAGAGACTTTGGCATTATTTAATGCATTATAAAACTCCCATCCGGGGCACACAGGAGATCCAGAGAGTGAGGAGACATTCAGAAGGCACAGCGCAGGTGCGTGTGTGGGTGGGGAGGGGACCTTAGAAGGAAGGAACCCCTCTTGTTTTGTGACAAGATAGGGAAGAAGCTATTATGTCTGTAGGTTTATTGTCAGAAAATTGAGGAAGTTCTCTTCTGATTGTTCTAATTTCTTTCTATCCCTCCCGCTTTGCCCACTTCCCTGCCACCAGTCCTCTTCTCTGGAACATTCTGCTTACCCTTCAAGCTTCCACTCTCGTCACTTGGGCCTTCTGGGAAGTGCTCTGCATGTATCTACTCTGCAGGCACTGCCAGATGGGGACCCGCAGGACTCGCCCTCTCACTCGCTGGGTGTGCGTTGCTTTCGGGAGGGGGGCTGCTGTTCGCTGGGGGTCAGGGTTGTGCACAGACTCAAAAACTGTTTCCTAAGTAAGCATGAGTGGATTCAGTCTGCATTTAAGACATGGTGCCACCCTGTAGGAGTTCGGACTAAGATAAGTGCATGAAGGATTATGACAAAACCCCTAGCCGAGGAGGACCACAAAAAAGAGCTATGCAGGGTGCAATCGACTAAGGACACACACAGTGGAGTGAGAGACTGAGTACTGTGTGGGTGATTTCAGGAGAAACTTTATACACGGTGTGGTTTTGAGCTCGTTGTTGAAGGATAGGCACATTTTTGACAGAAGAAGATACAGAATGGGCCTTTTATTTAAATGAGGTAGCATAAGAAATGGCACCGTGGCTCATGCCTATAACCCCAGCACCTTGGGAGGCCAAGGCAGGAGGATCATGTGAAGCCAGGAGTTCAATACAAGCCTGGGTGACGTAGTGAGACTACGTCTACAAAAAAAAAAAAAAAAAAGTCGAAAGAAAGAAATGGCACAAAGGGAACATGGAGCAGTCTAGATTAGCTGAAGTATGGAACATACCTGGTGTGGTCAGTCCATGATGCACTGGAAGGGCCTTGAATGCTAAACTAATAATTCTGTTTTACTTGACTTCCTTGAGAGGAGCCTTCCATTTCCATCTTTATCTGTATCAGAAAAAGTTGTGGACATATTCAAAAACTTTTAAACAATCTTTTGGTCATAGCCAAGAAGTTGATCATGACAGTTTAGAAGTCATACCCACCATTTTCATTCCAGAAACTAAGCCAGTATCCCGGAGATTTTCAGTATAGAGTATCCACCCACTCTCCCAAGAACACATTCTAGCAGATAGGTAAGGGCTGTGTTGTCTTCCTCGGCGGTCACTGGCTTCATCACGCCATCCAGGGGAGGAAGTGGAAGGCAAGCCTGCAGTGTGCCTTCTCCCACAGGTCTGTGGTGGAGACCAACATCAGGTTTCCCCCACTTGTAAATCAATATGATTAATAACTTTCTAGACAAAAAAAAAATTAAAAACAAAAATCTTTTTTTTCTTTCAGTTAAGAAAAAGAAGCCTAAACTTTTAAATAAATTTGATAAGACCATTAAAGCTGAGCTTGATGCTGCAGAGAAACTCCGTAAAAGGGTAGGTTGATCCTTTTGTGCAATGGTTTTGTTGTTAAATAAGCTCAGACATTACTCTTGATTTGTTAAAAAATAGTAAGTGTAGAAGAAACAACTGTTGAATAGAGTGGAATAGAGTGGATGTTCTCCCAGGCACGTGAACATTCCACATGAAATGAATCAGATGGAAAAGAATTGCCACCACAAGGCCAAAGAGAAACAGAACTTTCCTTCAAGCCAGCCGATGTGGATGTCAGCCTACCTCTATTACCCTCTAGTTATGTAGTGTTAGGCAAATCACATGGCCATTCTGAGCTTTAGTTTTCTTAGTTAAGGATATGAGAATGATAAATACTCTACCTCCTAATTGAGTTTTTTAAAGATCAAATGAGATTTTTTTAGTTTTTTGGACAGAAACTCTGCCCAGACTGGAGTACAGTAGTGCTATCTCAGCTTACCATGACCTCTGCTTCCTGAGTTCAAGCAGTCCTTCTGCTGAGTAGCTGGGATCACAGGTGCTCAGCACCATACCTGGCTAACTTTTCTATTTTTAGTAGAGACAGGGCATCATCATGTTGGCCAAGCTGGTCTTGAACTCCTGAGCTCAATTGATCCACCCGTCACAACCTCCCAAAGTGCTGGGATTACAGGCTTGAGCCATAAATGAAATAAATAATAATAATAATAACACTGTCAAGTATCACAGAAGTGGAAGTTTTTAATTTTATAGCTCCTTGATCCAAAAAGAAAAATTAAGTCAATCAGTTACTCAGGATTGGTAGATGAAATGACATTCTTTTTACTTAGGGTTAACCTCCTGTACCTCCAGTTTTCAAGGAAACTTATTTATGTTTTAATTTATCAATATATTTGAAGTATTACTTACATTTCTTTATAAATATTACAATTTTGGAAACAATAAATTGAAACTGGATTTAAGTTATTTGCTCCCTTACCTTGGTCATATCATCTAATTATCAGGTGCAAAAATATTTATTATAATGTATTTAATCATATCTTCGATTAATCATCTCCTTGTTTTTGGTAGAAATTTGTTTCTCTACTCTGCCCTTGAATGTAGACTCTCTAATGTTCATTAGTTTTCCTGTAATAGATTTTTTAATCAATAGACATTGGCTGCAAAAAAAAAAAAAAAAAAAAAAAAAAAGAACAAGTGGACTGTAAAACAACAATAAAAACATTCGTTAGAAACTAAAATGGGACAAGAATGTATGTCTGCATGTTTATTGAAAGTGTAACAACAAGCGTAAAGACTGTTAGAACTGGCATTAGGCAAGGCTCCAAAGCCAAGGTTTGGCTCACCCAGTTCAGCAGCCAATAAAAATATAGTAACTCCAAAGAATATTGCAGCAAAGTCATTGTTCACTTCCCTTAAATCTAACCATGTGGAATGATTCCGACTTTCTGATAGTAAACAAGGAATTTAACTATCTTGTTTAACTTTAAAGTGAAGCCATCTACTGTTTGTGGTTAGTTTGTATTTCTTAATAGTAATGAAGCAATAATCTTTTTCTGCCACCTCCTTTGGCACTTTCTCTATACTAAATGTCATATGTAAAAATGGGAGTGCCTATTGCATAGGTGACTTTCTATGTAAAAAAACATATGAACAGCTTTAAAGAATGATTTTAATGTAATTATATGCATGGTAAAGAAGGGATCAGTTACGGAGTATTCCGCAGTGCTGCTCCTTTGGAGAAATTGTATTTTTCTCAAAAAGCACCTTGAATTTATACCAGGGAAATAAAGAGGAAGAAGTAGCCACATATTCAGTTCTTGGTTCTGAAACAACAGGGAGCTGTGATTGACTGACTCATCAGCATAATTCAGTATTTTAGGGTTGATTTTATGGCTAGCGTTTTCAGAGGATGCACCTTCGTGCACTGGACCAGCCAAGGCCAACTAACACACACCTGATACAGAGACGGTGCAGCCTCATTTCATGACTCAGGTTCAAGGACTATGTTACATGAAAATATGTGTTCACTTTTTATACCCCTCAGAAAAGTACGGATCAGATTATATTCCAATCCTCTATTTAAAAAAAAAAAAATTTATTGTTTAAAATGCTTCCCCACCTCTGGAAAAAGGTTTTGAAATGATATACTGAGATATATTTGCTTTTTTGTTGGAATCATTTATTATTACAGCATTGTAAGTGATTTTTAAAAAGGTGGGGAAAGAGTAAAGAAAATGTAACCCAACACCTGAAAGTTCACACCACAGGCTCTAAACCTTGCGAGGAATGAAGTCAAGACTTCCTCGAGGGAAAACATGGAAAACAGAATCAGAAGATAAGATTAACATTGTTCATCAGAAGAGCTGTTCTGCTCCAAGTCCAGAAATAAACATTTGGCTGTAGATCTTCATAAAAGGTACACTGATGGGTGTAAAATTTCCTATTTTCCCCTGACGTCATCTCAGTGGATTATTCTGTGCAGCTGCAGGAATATGTCTTATTGTCCTTCAGCACAGCCCATTGGTCTCATGCCAACACAGCATGGCCCACATGCATGTCTATCCCATGAAGTGTCTCGGTCCTAGGACATAATTATCAGCTATGTTGAACAGATCATTTTCAGGCAATTTTTTAAACATTATGTCTTGCAATTGAGTTTTTAAGTAAGAATTGAACAATAGTGTTAGGAGCTATATAAGAACCTAAGGAAAGGAAATTCTTTCAGATTAAAAATAAACACATTTGGCCAGCCAGCTGAAGTGAAAGCAAAATCGATGGCCCCTCAGGAAAGTCACACAGCCTCTGTCTTGCAGGGATTCAAAGGATGCTACAGAGAGAGCAAAATATCCCATTATTTTAACACCCTTGACAGTGTCAAGCAGGAACATCACATCTTATCAAATTTGTTATGAACGTTGTTATTCTAATGTTTTAAGACTGATAATAGTACATTTAGCACAGTTTTCATGTAAATAGCTTTGACATTTGCAATTTAAATTGCATGAATTGCATACTGGTCTGAAAATGGGCCCCAAAAGATATGTTAAATGTTATGTTTTGGGAAAAGGATCTTTGCAGATATGATTAAGAACCTTGAGATACAGAGAGATTATCCTGGATTATCCAGTTGGCCTTAAATGCAATCATGTTTCCTCATAAGAGAGGGACAGAGAGAAATTTGATGGAGACAAAATAAAAAGCAGCACACATAGAGGAGAAGGCAGTATGAAGACAGAATTGGATATTGGAGTGATCCGTCCACAAGTCAAGAAAACTGGCAAGAGACAAGGCAAAATGTTTCTGTAGAGCCTCTGGAGAGAACACAGCCCACCTACCATCTTGATTTCAGCCCAGAGAAACTAATTTGGATAATCTGTTCTGCAGAACTGTGAGAGAACAAAGTTCTCTTGTTTTAAGCCACAAAGTTTGTGGTAGTTTGTTATAGAGGCCATAGAAGACTAAAATAGATTTTGGTACTGGGCCTGCGGGTATACAGAAGGCAAGAATTGAGGTTTAGGAACCTCTGCCTCGATTTCAGAGGACGTATGGGATTGCCTGGATGTCCAAGCAGAAGTTTGCTGCACAGGTGCAGGCTTCATGGAGGACGTCTGCAATGGCAGTATAGAAGGGAAATGTGGGGTAGGGAGTCTCCACATAGAGTCCCCACTGGGGCAATACCTAGTGGAACTGTGAGAAGAGGGCCCACATTCTCCAGACCCCAGAATGGTAGATCCACCAGCTTGTATCATGTGCCTGGAAAAGCCACAGACACTCAACAGCTGTTCATGAAAGCAGCTGGGAGGAGACCGTACCCTGCAAAGCCACAGGGATGGAGCTATCCAAGACCATGGAAGCCCACCACTTGTATCAGTGTGACCTGGATGTGAGGCATGGAGTCAAAGAAGATGATTTCAGATCTTTAAAACTTAATGACTGCCACACTGGATTTCAGACTTGCATGGGCCCTATAGCCCCTTCGTTCTGACCAATTTCTCCCATTTTGAATGAGAGCATTTATTCAATGCCTGTACCTCCATTGTATCTTAGAAGTAACTAATTTGATTTTGATTTTGCAGGCTCCTAAGTGGAAGAGACTTGCCTTGTCTCAGATGAGACTTTGGTCTTGGACTTTGGGTTAATGCTGGAATGAGTTAAACCTTTGGGGAACTGTTGAAAAGATACTGTGTTTTGAAATGTGAGGATACGACATTTTGGAGGGATTGGGGTGGAAGTTTGGTTTGGCTATGTCCCCAGCCAAATCTCATCTCAAATTAGAATCCCCATAATTCCTATGTGCCTAAGGAGAGACCTGGTAGGAGGTGATTGGATCATGGGAGCAGTTTCCTTCATGCTGTTCTCATCACAGTGAGTAAGTTCTCACTTACACAGATGAGATCTGATGGTTTTATAAGGGTCTCTTCCCCCTTCACTTCTCACTCTTCTCTCTCTTGCCACCATGTGAGGAAGGTCCTTGCTTTTCCTTTGCCTTCGGCCATGATTGTAAGTTTCCTCAGGTCTCCCCAGCCATATGAAACTGTGATTCAATTAAACCTCTTTCCTTCATAAATTATCCAGTCTCTGGTATTTTTTACAGCAGTGTGAAAACAGACTAATACAGTATTCCTTGAGAACACAGGTAGAAAGTATATGTATATTGAAGGAAAATTCAATTTCTTTGGCAAAATCACATGTTGCATCATTTATCAGGTGTTTGTCTTTATTTTTTTGAGACAGAGTCTCACTCTGTCACCTGGGCTGGAGTGCAGTGGCATGATCTTGGCTCACTGCAACCTCCACCTCCCAGGCTCAAGTGATTCTTCTGCCTCAGCCTCCCAAGTAGCTGGGACGATAGGCGCATGCCACCACACCCAGCTAATTTTTGTATTTTTAGTAGAGATGAGGTTTTGCCATGTTGACCAAGCTGGTATTGAACTCCTCACCTCAGGTGATCCACCCATCTCAGCCTCCCAAAGTGCTAGGATTACAGGCATGAGCCACCCTCCTGGCCAGGTGCCTGTCTTTTTAACAATTGAGTAAATATATGTTCATTACTAGTTTTCTGTTTGCCTTAAACTAGTAAAATCTTAAGTAAAACGATATACTCGGGAATGAATCTAGGAAATTCTGACAAAATCACTTGCTGGATATTAAAAATATTGATTGATTATGCATTTTAATTTACTTTATGTAATTTTGTCTTTCTAACAGGGAAAAACTGAGGAAGCAGTGAATGCATTTAAAGAACTAGTACGCAAATACCCTCAGAGTCCACGAGCAAGATATGGGAAGGCACAGGTATTCTGAGATTCTCCTTAGGACACTTTTTTGATGTTCATGTGTTCTGTGTAATTGGATTTTTTACTCCTTACTATTTCCATTTGCTCTTTTCCCTTTCTAATTTCTACACAGAATCAGTTTCTCATGTATATGCATAAACCCGAGCAGAAACACAATTAATTATTGCTATTGCATGCTGCTGAATTTAGTAAATTTTTTTTTCTGCTCCCCCTTCATATGCCTTCTCTCTGGTTTTGAAAAGAAAACAAAGAGTAACACTTTTGTCATTGATTTACCATCCCCTCATGTCCCATTTCATCTAATTCCACCATACAGTGTTCACTTGAGGCTCCTTAGAGCTTTCAGACAGGTTTAAAACTGGAGGTTGCAAGTATGCTTAGGAAATACCTTTCTAAAATATAAAGTGGAACATACTTTTTTTCCCTCCATAGTTTCTTTCAACAGACTCATTTTTTAGCAGCTACTTGTATCCTCATCTCCCACCATCGTGTTTCTTGTCCGGCATTCTCTAGTTTCCAGCTTCTTTCATGAAGCATGTGCCTGTTCACCTGCAACTGCATAAACCCACTGCGTGTCAGTGTTCTACGCCCTAGGAATGCCTGTTTTGTATTCTTTCATGAGATGGTTGGTCAGGTGCAGTTACAAGAGGTCTCACAGGCCAGGACTGGGGAAAAGCAAAGTTTATTATGCTCACAAGTCCTACAGACAGGAGACCCACCCAGCATGCCACACAGGGCTGCATGGGAAAGACTCAAGGTGATCAGGGCATGGCAGGCAAGAGCGAGGGGAAGGATTGGCCACAGCCTTTATTGAAGTTTCTGTGGAAAAGGCAAGGTATGGTAGGGTGAATAGTTTTGGACTGGCTGGTTTGAATAATTTCAACTACCTTTTGCCTACAGGGGTGTTACCTGGCCCTGAGATGATTAAAATACAGGAGACGTGGCTCTGGATTGGTTGGTTTGCATGCTCCTGGCTGAGCACTGGCCATCTCAGAATTGTCTAGCTCAGGGAAATCTCTTTCTAGCCAGAGAGGTTTTTTAAGATTTCAAAACATCATATATACAGAAAATTTAAAAATAATTACAATACAATACAATGAATGTTCCTGTGGATTCTAGTGGAAGAATGTTTTTTAAATTACTTAAAGAATATTTAGTGAGAGCCCACTATGTGCCAGGCAGTAGAGATCCAGCCATCAACAGAACATATTTTAAAAGCCCCTGAGCTTATGGGGTTTCCATTGTAAAGGGGAAGACAATGCATAAGACAAATAAGTCCAATGTATATGCTTACTAGGGCTAAGTACTATGGAGAGAAAAAAGAAAGCAGGGAAGAGCCAGTAGATGTGTGAGAGGGTTGACGAGGTATGAAGGGTGGCAGGGAAAGGTCTCATCAATGAGGTGGACATTTGAGCCAAGCCCTGAAAGTCTTTATAAATAAAGATATACTTAACGTTATAAAGTATTAAGAATAAATATGTTAGATCAGCTTACCTGATAAGACATGCTGTGAAGAAAAGAAGAAAAGGTAATGGAATGAAGGGCATACCTATTAAGAATTTTTTTTTTTTTTGAGGCGGAGTTTCGCTCTTGTTACCCAGGCTGGAGTGCAATGGCGCGATCTCGGCTCACCACAACCTCCGCCTCCTGGGTTCAGGCAATTCTCCTGCCTCAGCCTCCCGAGTAGCTGGGATTACAGGCACGCACCACCATGCCCAGCTAATTTTTTCTATTTTTAGTAGAGACGGGGTTCCACCATGTTGACCAGGATGGTCTCGATCTCCAGACCTCGTGATCCACCTGCCTCGGCCTCCCAAAGTGCTGGGATTACAGGCGTGAGCCACCGCGCCCGGCTATTAAGATTTTTTTTGACTGCAGGTAACATGGTTGAAAGTAATAGGGCAGACAGCACTTTAGACAAGGTGGGCAGAAAAGGACTCTCAAGGGAGGCAACATGTGGCTGAGATGTGAGGAGGTTATATTAATAGAAGGAGCTGTCCAGGCAAGAGGGAGCAGCAAGTCAAAGGCTTTGAGGCAGGAAAGCAGTCTTAGGATAAGCCTGAGGAGAGAAAGAAGGCCATGCTGGAGGAAGCAAAAGGAGGATCAAGGAGGCTAGGTCCTTGTAGTTTTTATTCTACATGTGCTGGGAAGCCATGGGAGGGTTTTATGCATGGGCATGACAGTGTGGTGGTTTTTTGTAAAGCTTGCTTTGGTTGCTGAGTGGAAAAGGGATTATGGAGGCAAAAGTAGATGCAAGAAGAATAGAAGAATATACTTCCATTGCAAGTATACCAAGAGATGCTGGTGGCTTGGACTGTGGTCATGGCCATGGAGATGAGGGAAGTGGGCCCATGGTGGAGCTGAAAGCACTTGAGGATGGATTAGATGTAAAAGCGTCAGAGGAAGAGGGCTCAAGGCTGACCCCTAAGTTTTTGGTTCGGCCAGCTGAGGAAAGGATAATGTCAGTTACTGACCAGGAAGAGCAACTCAGGAGTGACACAGAAGTCAAGAGTTCTGGAGTTTGCTATTGGTCTTATTAAGCTTGCAATACCTGTTAGACAATCAGGTGGACATGCCAAGTAGACCAATGGATTCCCAGAGCCTGGAACTTGGAGGAAGAGCCAGGGCAGAGTATCAAAGTGGGCCAGGCAGTAAACCTCCAGCAGCCCCGCCTAGAGGTCCAGATCGCCAACCCTGCTGGGAAATGGTAGGTTGGGAGTGCAGAAATTTTCCAGACAGAGGTGAAGCTGACAGCACCCCTCTGGAGAAGGTCCATGCAGACATTGGTGCAGGGCACACACAGGAAGTAGCTCAGCTGTAGAGAAAACAAGTGAAGTTTGTTCTGAACTGAAAGTGGTGACGACTTGAGATCCAGGTGCTCAGTGTCTTCTTACATCCCCATTAAGTAATTAATATAATTTTTACTGATTTGATTTTAATTAAATTTGTGAAAAATTGATGGAGATAAGTTCCTCTTGTCCTTGGTACAGACTAACTTTAGCAGATAGCAACTGTTTGATTTGTATAATTTGAGCAGTAATTCTCTAAAATTGCCAAATCATATTGCTATTAAGTGAGAGAGTGTGTTTGTTACCAAAAGATCATGCCTATTCAAATAAGCAGTGTTTTTTCTCACTAGTATTAAGTCATTTAATTAAGAGAATCATATCAACTTTTGGAAGAAATGATTTATACAAATGCTAATTTAATTTTGGCAAACATTTTTATACTTTAGAAGATTTTCTTATATTTAATACTAATGTGAGTACCAAAGTCTAAATAAATGAAGTGCTCTTGAAACAATGTGATTGCTGTGTTTACAGTCAGCTCTCCCAATCCTCATGTTTCATATCCGTGGATTCAACTCACCACAGATTGAAAATATTTGGAAAAAAATAAAAAATAACAATGCAACAAAAAAAGGCCAATAAAAATGATATACTGTAACATCTATTTACATAGCGGTTACCTTATATTAGGTATAATAAGTAATCTAGCAATGATTTAAATTAATCAGGAGGATATGTAGAGGCAATATGCAAATACCATACCATTTTATATTAGGAAACTGAGCATCTGCAGACTGGTATTGTAGTGGGGCAGTGGTGGTTGTGGTCTTAAAACTAATCTCCTGTATATAACTAAGGATCACTGTATATCTATATTTCACAGTAGAAATTTGAGATTTAGGCTTCAGTCAGTATCTTTTATCTTTAAGCTATTATGCTCCAATGTGTTATTGCTATTAATATTAATGTGGCATACAGAAAAATTTAGGCATGGTAAATTAAATTTTAATTGAGTAATTAATTATAAAGGATACTTCAAATTCATAGTAGTTTTAAAAATAAAAATTCAACAGAAGATGGGTTTTATAAGAAGAAATAAATTATGACTTCTTTATTCTTTGTTAGTAGATTAAACAATTACTTTGGAATATTCCAACAAATTTTTAAAATTTGGCAACCTTAAGTCATCTATAAACTATAGTATCTATCATTTCTAAAGTAGCACTGACACTGTTTTATTCTTCATAACACCAAAAATCAATTTTGATCAAGTTCCTTGAACATTGGACACGAAAGCTTAAAATGTAAACTCAATTCTCTTTATTACCTTTCACAAACCATTAATGCCTTTGAGGCAGAAAATGATACACCTCGTAGAAAGATTGGTTGGGTGAATTAGCTGGAGTCAACAAAAGGCTTTGCGATGTTAACGTCCTGTAACAAATATTCAGTTTCAGCTCAGCTTGTTTTTATCTACAGATGCTAAACTGATAAAAATCAATCTGTAGACTTTTCAATGCAAGTGCCTATCAGTTTTATTCAAGAGATTATAAAGAATTATGTGCCATTTTAGTAGTGATATTTTTCCAATTCTGCAAGTTGTAAATGTTAATGTTTCATTAAAACAAAGGACCTTGGAGCACCAGAGAGGGTACAAGGCATACAGACTATACCATCTCTCTCACTTTTCAGATTGAGTTTAAAGATAATTTATTCTAATCTCAATAAAGAAGGATTACCTTGGTAGGCATTTGTCTCCCACTAATGCTGCAGAGACCTCCAGATCCAGGATCTTTTTGAGCACTTTGTAGGTTCAAAATGAAGACAGTGAACCACAGATGGTTTACACTTTACAATGTTTTTTCTTAACAATTTTTCAACTTCATAATGGTGTGAAAGTGATACACATTCAGAAGAAACTGCACTTCAGTATAGTATCCAATAAATTACATGAGATAGTCGACATTTTATTATAAAATAGGCTTTGTGCTAGGTAGTTTTGTGCAAATGTAGGCTGATGAAGTTTTCTGAGCACACATAACATAGGCTGTGCTAAGCTGTGATGTTCAGTAGGTTATGTATATTTAATGCATTTTTGACTTTACAATATTTCAGCTTACAGTGGGGTGTAACTTCAACTTACGATCTCCCCACCACCCCCGTCATAACTTCAACTTAGGATGGTTTCGAAAGGAGTCTCAAGTCTAGAACTCTGTATTTCTGCAAAGTCATCTGTCAACATTCATATTCTGGGGAGTTAACTCACTATAACAAAACTCACAAGGAGCTGATGCCTATACAGAAAAGCCAGCCTATGAATATATGATAGAAGGCCATGCCGGCATCATGATCAGTGTGGGTCATTGACACTGGACTTTCTCTCCTGGTAGATAAGTCTATTCTGGAGACCATTTACAGACTTTCAAAGATAGTGAATGGTCTGGAGCATATATCCATTTAGCAAGGGTGAATCACCTTTTCTAATCTAGAGATTTTTATCCTACCAAGTTTCCTTTCTCATAAATTTGTCCACTTCTATCACGACTGCTTTAATTCTAGCCCTCATTTTGGGAAGCGTGTCCTGATCAGTTCATATTATCAAGTAATATCATTGATGTGTTATTTTGTGGAAAAAAAAAAAAACCGTAGTTGTCTTATTTTGTCAATTTGTGCTAATTCTTAGGGTGTTTTTTGTTTTTTTGGTTTTTTTTTCCTTTGGGATATGGGAAGGATGGGTCATTTTCTTACCATGCCCTCAAATTGTAGAGTGATACTTTATTTTGGTTCTGCAGACATCTGTATATTAACTACAGCACACATTGTAACAATATAAACATGTTTAAATATTCTGAGAAAAAAAAATGTGTAATACTTTTAGCATCTAGCTAGAAAAATTTTTCCTTAAGTGATAGTCTTCAGATTGTAGCCTTCTAAATCTCCTCTCTCTTCCTGCCTCCAGTATTTGACTCCCCATTCTCAGTTTCCAGCTAAGAACGTTGATTCTTATTTCACTAAGGAAACAGAAATATCCAGAGAATTGCCACATGATGCTGCTGCTTTGCTAACAGCCATCCTCTGCCTGTGCCCATATGCTCTGCCTTCCCTCCTGTTAGCACAGATGGGCTGTTCTGGTCCCTGTTCCTCTCACCTGCTGAAGGACATCTCTCTAATTTTTGTGTCTCCTTCTGCATCATCAGATTTTCCCTCTCTACAGCCTTTTGCATCTCCTTGGAAACATGCTGTACTATTTCCCATCCTTAAAGAACTCCCCGTTTCTGCACATTGCCCTCTGCCAGCTGGCTGATTTTTCTGATCTCCTTTCTGTGAAATTCCTCGAAAGAGTTATCTCCACCTCCTTCCATCCCCTGTTCTCTTAAACCTGCCATACTCCCATGCTCCCCCCTTTTTGCTGGTTCTCCCTTGTTATCCTGATCTCTAATGACCTTGAAACATTGGAGTTCCTTGGGATTCAGTTCCTGAGCCGCTTCTGTTCTCTGTCTGCACTCTCGACTGCTTCTAGCTTCCTAGCTTTGCATACCATCTTTATCTTTGATGATTCCCATACTTAATGTTTCTTACTCTAACCTTCCTCCTGAACTCCAGACTAATATATGCCCCTTCCTGGTCAATAATTCCATTTGGATATCTTATATGCATTTCCGGTTTAATGTGTCTAAAATGAAACTCCTGATTCCATACTGCCCCCAAACCTGCTTCTGCCCTGTCTTCCCATTCTCAAGGAATAACAGTTCATCCAGGAATCACTGAAGCCAAAACCTTGCTCCCCTTGGTTTCTTCTCTCACACTCTACATTTAGAACATCAGCAAATCTGTTGGCTCCGACCTTCAAAATGTATCTGTAGTCCAACCACTTGTTACCACTTCCATTACTACTACCTTAGTCCCAGCCATAATCATCCCACACCTGGATTCCTGCTGGAGTATTCCACTCTCCCAGCTTCCCAGTCTGTTCTCCATACAGCTGCCACCACGATCCCTTCAACACATACATCAGATCGTTTCAAAAGCCCCATTGTCTTTCCGTCTCACTTTGTGTACTAGAACTGTCAGTAGCTTGCCAGGCCCTGCGTCACCTGATAGCCCTTGTTGGTCTTCCCTTTCATCCTCTCCAGGGCACCACCTTTCCTCGATCTCCTGCCTCCAAGCCATTGCACTGTTCTTGCTATTTTCCCTGCCTGGAAGGCTACTGCCGAGGGTATCTTCATAACTTGCTCCCTCTCTTCTTTCAGGCCATCCCCATCATCCTGATGAAATGAGCAACTCCTTACCATCCCACCCAGCACTCCTAAGCCTGCTTTGTTTTTATCTACTGCACTCATGGCTGTTAGACACACAGTACCTTTATTTCTTTATTATATTTGCCTCCTCTCTAAAGTGGATGCAAAGTAGAAATCAAAAAGGGCTTTGTCTGTTTTGTTCAACTTGTCTGCCACCTTTGTAGAAGGGTGCCTCTCTCCCAGAAAACAGTTGTTAAATGAATGAATGCACACACAAATAAATTAATGAAAGAACAGGAGCTTGGACTGGAGACTTGCCTATATAATGTCAGTGCATAGTAGGATGTACATCTCCATCAGCCCAGCATGTATTAGTCCTGCTTTAATGACATTCCTTCTTGTCTTTAGTAACAAACTTTTCTTTGTATTCTTGAAATAGTGTGTTGATTTTCTGTCTTTTGTTTTTTTATCTCTTGATAAGGAGAAAAGGCTAATATGTCTTACATTTCTTTTAAAGCATGTCCAAAAGTTAACTTTTTGTGAATATTTTGGGTAATTACAAACACAGCTATTCATGGGACATTTATTCAGTCTGGGACTTCTTCTAGTGTGAGGACGATTTGGCTGAAAAGAGGAGAAGCAATGAGGTGCTACGTGGAGCCATTGAGACATACCAAGAGGTGGCCAGCCTACCTGATGTCCCTGAAGACCTGCTGAAGTTGAGTCTGAAGCGTCGCTCAGACAGGCAACAATTCCTAGGTAAGATACAATCAAAGGTAATTCAGTAGGAAATGACATACTTTTTATCTTGAAGAATCTGAAGACTGTATTCTTCTTAGAAGAATTACATGTGAGAAAACCTGAGTTTTATAACTGATTTCAAGTCATGTATCTGTGTCCTAGGTTCACGATCTCCAAAACTGAAATTGCAATCCTAACCGTAATACAGGTCATGCCTCAAGGATGCTGTGGGTTTGGTTCCAGACCATCAGAATAAAGAGAGTTACACAGTTTCCGAGGATATCTAAAAGTTGTGTTTATACTATGTCGTAGCATCTTAAGTGTGCAATAGTATGTCTTAAAAAACGATGTCCCAACTCTAATTTAAAAATACTCTATTGCTCAAAAATACTAATATAATCTGAGCCTTAGTGAGTTGTAATCTTTTTGCTGATGACAGTCTTGCCTCAATGTTGATAGCCAGTGACTGATCAGGGCAGGCGTCCCCAAACTTTTTACACAGGGGGCCAGTTCACTGTCCCTCAGACCGTTGGAGGGCTGCCACATACTGTGCTCCTCTCACTGACCACCAATGAGAGAGGTGCCCCTTCCTGAAGTGCGGCGGGGGGCCAGATAAATGGCCTCAGGGGGCCGCATGCGGCCCGCGGGCTGTAGTTTGGGGACACCTGCATCAGGGTGTTGGTTGCCGAAGGTTGGGGTGACTGAGGCAATTCCTTAAAATAAGACAATAATGAAGTTTGCTGTGTTGATTGATTCTTCCTTTCAGGAAAGATTGATATGTAGCTTGAATGCTGTTTGACAGTATTTTGCACACAGAACTTTTCTTGAAATTGGAGTCAGTTTTCTCAAAGCCTGCCACTGCCTTATCAGCAGTTTATAGAATATTCTAAATCCTTTGTTGCCATATCAACAACGTTCACAGCATCTTCACCGGGGTAGATTCCATCTCAAGAAACCACTTTGCTCAGCTGTAAGGAGCGACTACTCGTTGATTAAAGTTTGATCATGAGAGTGCAGCAGTTCAGTCACATCTTCAGGCTCCATTGCTCATTCTAGGGATCTTGTCATTTCCACATCTGCAGTTACTTCCTTCCCCCACTGAAGTCTTGAACCCCTCCAAGTTATTAAAGAGGGTTGGAATCAACTTCCTCCCAAACTTCTGTTAGTTTTTATATTTTGACATTTAAATAAAATGTATTTCTTAAATAATAGAACTTAAAAGTCTAAATTGCTTCTTGATCCGTGAACTGCAGAAGGTGAATGTTGTTCTCATATTAGCATTCATGAGAACAACATTCACCTCCTCATATGTCTCCATCAGAGTTCTTGGTGACCAGGTGCTTATCAATGAGCAGTAATATGTTGAAAGAAATCTTTTTCTTTCTTTCTTTTTTTTTTTTTTTTTAGGACTCAACAGTGCACTTAAAATGTTCAACAAACCATGCAGTAAACAGATATCCTATCATCCAGACTTTGTTTTCTATAGAGCACTAGCAGAGTAGATTTAGCATAATTTTTAATGGCCCAGTTTTTCAAAATGGTAAGTGAGCACTGTCTTCAACTTAAAGTCTCCAGCTGCATTAGCGCCTAACAAGACAGTAAGTGTATCCTTCAAAGCTTTGAAAGCAGGCATGACTTTTCCTCTCTTGCTGTGAAAGTCCTGGATGGCATCTTCTTCCAATAGACAGTTACTTTGTCTACATAGAAAATCTGCTGTTTGGTGTAGCCACCTTCATCAGTGATCTTAGCTAGATCTTCTAGAAACTTGTTGCAGCTTCTACATTAACACTTGCTTTTTCCTCTTAGAGTTTTATCTTATGGAGATGATTTCTTCCCTTAAATTTCATGAACAAATCTCTGTTAGCTCTCTTCTCTCCGTTTCTTCCCATTTTAAAGGTGAAGTTGGTAGAATACTGATAGCTTGTATAATTTGCCTAAGGAATCATAGCTAACAGATTAACAGGTCTGGAATAAAAAACTCTTCATGTGATACCAAATTCTTGTTCTCTCTTAACCGTAGCAAAGTGATTATGGAGGTTGAACTTAGCAGTGGAAAATTTTTATAAATGAATAATAGGTGTTTCTGGTACCGTAAAAAATTTACTTGTAAGATTTGACCCTTTATCAAGGAAAATGCTAGAAAAAATCATGAAGTAAATTTGAAAATTCTTTCAAAACAATGTCATATCATATCTCATTAGATTTAGGGGGCTACAATCTAAAGACTATCATTTGGGGAAAAATTATATCAGCTAGATGCTAAAAGTAGCATACCTAATATAGAACGTCATGTATCATTCTCTGGACTGACTTAGGTTCCCAGTGCCAAAGGCAAGTAAGACTAGCTGTCAGCTAACTTCATGTTAAGCAGGCTTATGATTATCTCCCCATAACAGATCATCAGTCAATGTGGAGGGAAGGAGCTAAGCTCCAAGTCACTGCCAAGGCAGGTGCTCAGCTGGCCAGGTAGTTACATGGACAGATTATTTAGGGGAGGCTCCTATAGTAGAGTTAAGGCTCAGCAAAACTCCTCTGTTTGCTGAGGATTAGAATGAAGAGGAGTTGTATCACTTTTGCAGATGAACAAAATAGGGCTAGAGCCCATGTGATGATTAAAAATGGTAAGAAATTTTAGACTAATATTCATAAGGACCAGTGCAGCAGAAGATAAACATGCAGCACAAATTCAGCACAGAAAAGGCAGGGCCAGGACTCTAGAGAGGCAATGCGGACACTCGCCCTGGACAGAGATCAGTGATACTGGTGGGCGTGGTGGCTCACGCCTGTCATCCCAACACTTTGGGAGGCCGAGGTGAGCAGATCACCTGAGGTCATGAGATCAAGACCAGCCTAGCCAACATGGTGAAACATGGTCTCTACTAAAAATACAAAAATTAGCCAGATGTGTTGGGTGCCTGTAATGCCAGCTACTCAGGAGGCTGAGGCAGGAGAATTGCTTGAAACCAAGAGGCAGATGTTGCAGTGAGCTGTGAGCTGAGCTCACACCACTCCACTCCAGCCTAGGCAACGGAGCAAGACTCCATCTCAAAAAAATAAACTCGGCCAGGCGCGGTGGCTCAAGCCTGTAATCCCAGCACTTTGGGAGGCCGAGGCGGGTGGATCACAAGGTCGAGAGATCGAGACCAACCTGGTCAACATGGTGAAACCCCGTCTCTACTAAAAATACAAAAAATTAGCTGGGCATGGTGGCGCGTGCCTATAATCCCAGCTACTCAGGAGGCTGAGGCAGGAGAATTGCCTGAACCCAGGAGGCGGAGGTTGCGGTGAGCCGAGATCGCGCCATTGCACTCCAGCCTGGGTAACAAGAGCGAAACTCCGTCTCAAAAAAAAAAATAAAATAAAAAAAAAAAAAAAAAAAAAAAAAAACTCGCCTTCCCTCATGAACTTTTTTGGCATCCTCTGAAATCTTACTCTGAGTGCCTCTCTGGCTTCACTCTGTCCTCTGCGGCAGTGGGAAGGTAACTGCCTCTTCCCCAGCAATCCATCAGCATTTGAATGTAGCCCTCTTAGAACGTCCTTGAGAATGAGGCAAGTGCACTTGAAGAGGCTCCGAGGCAACTGCAGACAGAGGACTTTAGTGAAAATGACAAGGTGATGAAGTTGGTCACAACAGGGTTCCCGGATGCAGAGTGGAAGGGACAGGGAGCAGATGGCCGCAGGAGGGGTTTGTGTCCATGCTTTCTTTGTGGATAATAGGAGGATTCTAGAAGAAAATGTGAGCCTAAGTGGGCAGGTGGGGGAAGGAATGGTATAGAAAAGGAAGCTCAGGTTTGTTAGTGAGGAGATTACTAGAGTTCTGATTGGACTACAGTCGGCCGGTAATGGGGCACAGGCCGTGGGACGAGTCGGTGATGCTTTATGATAGATGGTTTGGCAGTGGAATAAACGGCTGCTTTAGCACACTGACACTCTTCCCGCTCTCCTAGATTGTGGGCAACAAAGACCTTTAGATAATCCAGGGTTTGTTTAATGTGTGCTATTCCTCTTTTTGCACATGTTCTTTTATACGATCAATCGAAGCTGGGCTTTTCATGATTCATGAGTGCAAAGTGTACTGTTGTCCACGAGAGGGCGCCCTCATACCGGCTGATGCATCGTTTGCTCCACGGCTAGGTCATTACCTAGAGATGAGCACACCTGTCATTGGAGACGTGTCAGCAGTACGATACTGTCCTGGGTACTTTTGTGCCTCTCACATTTCATACAGGGGGCTATATCTTGAAATTAGTTAGACTTTTTACTGCTTACCCTCTATTCATCATTTTAAAGTTAATAAACCAAAAATATTTCGGCAAAACTTTTTTTTTTTAACGTGGAATTGGTAACTAAGTTTTTCTTGAGATGGAATTTAACATAAAATGGTAAATATTGCTGAATTTTAAAAACTAAGAATGAAATGTTTATAATCAATGCCATATTCAGTATCTACTTATGGTCATTATTAATACCATTGCAACTACATTATGAAATCCTGCTAGGCACTTAGTAAACCGCTAATAGATCAGTCAGATTTAAGCTGGTTTTCATGCTCTGAAGCATAGTCTCTCATGACTTACGTTCAAAAGTGTACGTAATCTGTTTCTATTTCTATTGTTTTTTTTTAATTCCCACAAATTCAGGTCATATGAGAGGTTCCCTGCTTACACTACAGAGATTAGTTCATCTATTTCCCAATGATACGTCTTTAAAAAATGACCTTGGCGTGGGATACCTCTTGATAGGAGATAATGATAATGCAAAGAAGGTTTACGAAGAGGTGAGCATCAATCTTGTATTAACTATGTCAAATTAAGTTCTAAGGCTATTTGCAAATTACATTTATTAGACTAAGACTCTTTTTATTTTGAATTAAGTTAAGCATGCATTATTATATTGAACATATTCTAAACTTTAACTATTGCTTTTTTTCTAGATCTGAAGATTTTTAAATCTTAGTTAACACTTAGTACACTAAAATCTTCAACTTGTAATTGTGATGCTTTTAAAACTTCGTATTTATCTTTCCATAAATAACCTTTCTAAAATTGTTCCTTGTGACAGGAAGACGAATTTAACTTCCTATGAATTTCACACACACACGCGCGCGCACACACATACACACACACACACACACTCATACACTCTCTTTTTTTTTTTTATTCCGGAAGTATGGTCTAGAGGCTATAGAACAGGGGCCTTTCAAGCATGTGACATAAATTACTCACTTTTCAGCAGGGCATTGACTCTTCAAATCCTCTGGCAAGGATGCCTTTCAAAGGATTCGTACTTTATAACAGATGTTGATAGATAACCTCTAAGACACGAGTAACTGTAAAATCTAGAGGAATGTGATTCCTTCAGGCACTCGCGCAATTCATTTGGTACAGTATAAACAGGATGCCCAGTGAACTTTGAAAATGGAGAAAGGGAATGCCTCTAAAAGAAAGATGAACATGTTTACTTGTGATTCTTTAATTTAGGCTCTTTGATCAGTGGTTTTCAAACTGGTGAAGTCTACATCAAGACTTAGTGATAGTCAGTTATTCCTGCTACAGTTTTGTTTTGTTTTTGTTTTTTGTTTTGGGTTTTTTTTTTGTTTGTTTTGTTTTAACATGCGGTTTCACTCTGTTGCCCAGGCTGGAGTGTGACATGATCGTAGCTCACAGCATCAACATTCCGGACTCAAGCAATCCTGCTTTAGCCTCTCAAGTAGCTGGGACTACAGGCACATGCCACCATGCCCAGCTAAATTTTAAAACATTCTTTAGTGATGGTGGAGGTCTCCCTATGTTACCTAGGCTAGACTCAAATTCCTGGCCACAAGTGGTCCTCCTGCCTCAGACCTCCCAAATAGCTAAGATTACAGGCACAAGTCATTTCACTCAACTCCTTTTACAGTAGTTTTTAAATGCTGTCAAGAACAGTCATTTCATACTCTGGCAGAGACTGGGTCTATTCTCAAAGTGGTACTTTCCTTTGTGTAGAGCTGTTGCCGTGTAATGAAAATCATTGAATTTGGGGGGCAGCTGTCTTTTTACCTTTCTCATAATTTTTATATTTTCTGAGAGAGCAGAAGTAAGACCTTTGCTTTTTATAACATCACTAATAGCTACACAGGGTGGATTGAACCTTTCATGTTGACAGTGTGTGCCATTTACTAAAGACCAATTCCAAGTCATAAATTAATTCCACGTGGAACATTGTATTTGTTAATGGCCAGCACATAACACTCAATGTCTTCTCTTACAAAGTATGGTTAAGAGAAGCATTTTATACCTCAGTGATTCGGGATGTTGTGAATGTAAGAATTGTGAAGCTATAACAAATGCATCCATTATTTTGTCACTGTCAGAGGCCACAAAAATGAAACTATAGAATGAATTCCTTCCTTCCTTCCTTCCTTCCTTCCTTCCTTCCTTCCTTCCTTCCTTCCTCTCTCCCTCACTCCCCTCCCTTCCTCCCTCCCTTCCCCCTCATTCCCTTCTTTCCTTGAATTCTTCTGTTTTCTTTCTTCTGTCCCTCTACCCCTCCCTCTCTCACTTCCTACCTTCCTGTCCCCTTTCTTCTTCCTTTCCACCTAAAAAACACTCCCAAGTGTTGACTGGCTGCAAGCACATTTGAGGTTAGGGCAGGATCTGACAGCATACTGGCTTCTCTAACCCACTGCAGATTTGTCCTTCCTCAACTTTTAAAACTTCCATCAGGATATTCATCCCTTTACCTGAAGCTAAATCTCAGATATATGAAACATTTTACTTCATGCCAAAAAATAAAATTTACCTGCTGTTGTTTTTACATTTTACATCGTAATCTCATCTGAATATTCATAATAGGATGCAGAGAGTCTAAAATAAAACGATATTATGCAATTGAGTGAGTTTCTTTTTAAAAGAAGCATTAGTAGACTGAAAATATGTATGGGGTTGCCTTTTTCCCGCTCCTCCCACTTTGCAGTTCATAAGCTATATCTAATGGAGTCTTTCATGAACCAGAGTTTTTCCTGATAAGTTTATGTTAAAGATCATTTTTAGAAGACAGATATTGTAATTTTGTATTTTTCTCCATGTTAATTTTTATTTTTGAGTATGCTTATAAAAATTACTGAAATTTTTATTTTTCCAGTTTTTTGCTGCTGTTAGTGTCAACAACAACAACAAAAAAACCTGGCTTTAAAATGGTGTGACATCCACAGCTCCAGTCTGTGGCTTTTTGCGTCCTCTCCTGGGGTTCTCTTGCAAGTTGGCAACACTTGCAGCTGCACAGGCACCGCGGTGGGGAGTTCATGCCACTCCTGACTCACCCACCAGTACCCACCTATGCCCATTCACTCAGTCAACACTACATCTATTAAAACACACACACACGGTAGCTAGAGATCAGTAGTTCATGAAACGCACGCAGAATGTGCCCTCGTGACATTTATAATCTGGTACCGAATCACAAATCTCTGTTCATGTTAATTTCTGTTCATTTTGACTTCTGATTAACCTTCAAATCCCTTCCCTTTGTGACGCGAGCACCTGTCATCTCTTGCCTGACTGGGGACAGGTTTATCCTGCTGTGGCTTGCTGTCCCTCAATTTTCACCAGCACTAAAACACAACACTGATCATCTCCCTCAGCTTTAAATCTTCTGTGGTTCTCATTTCCTGCAGCAGTGGACTTCACACGTGCTTGATACAGGCCCTTCCAGACTAAAATATTCAAGAAAATGCCTGCCATATGTTGATGTACTTTTATGTTATATGTGCATGCATGTACCCACATAATATTATGTATATATGCGTGAATATATATGTGTATTACAAAAGGCACACACCCCAAAGCAATCAAGATGTTGTCAAGTATTTAAAATACTTTTAAAATTCTGTTTAACTGCCAGAAAATCTTTTAACTCTTGCCGGAAAACGAATATGTAAATAATATCAATGTGCGATGCTATTTATGATTATATAACTTTTTTAAATACCAAGAATGTATCATGCAAAGAGTTTGTACTGGGGATAAAAATGTCAGCTGTATGAGGTTGTGGCTGTTTTTGTCTGTGATTTGTGTTTGTGTATGGATGTGTGGGTTTTGTACAGAGAGAGAAAGAGATAATCTAATATTACAGTTGACCCTTTAACAACACAGGCGTTAGGGATGGTGACCACCTGTGCAGACGAAAATCCATGTGTGCTTTCTGAATCCCCAAAAACTTTACTCACAGTCTACATTGACCAGAAGCCACACAGGTAACATAAACAGTCAATTAACACATATTTTGTGTATGTAGTATTTGCTATATTCTTACAGTGAAGTAAGCTAGAGAAAAGAACATGTTATTTTGAAAATCATAAGGTAACCAAAAGAATTAATTGGATTATTTGTAACATGAAGGATACATGCTTGAGGGGATGGATACCCCATCTTCAAAGGTGTAATTAGTATGCATAGCATGCCTGTGTCAAAACATCTCGTGTACCCCATAAATATATACACCTACTACGTGACTATAAAAATAAATTTTAAAAACTGAAACTTTAAAAGTCATAAAGAAGAGAAAATATATTTGCCATTTATTAGGTGGAAGCGGATGATTAAAGTTTACATCCTCAGTGTTTTCATGTTAACTAGGCTGAGGAAAAGGAGGAGGCATTGGTCATGTCTCAGCCGCAGCAGAGACGGAAGATAATCCATGCAGTTCAAACTCATGTTGTTCAAAGGGCAACTGTAGCCTCAATCTGTGATTTTTAGAAATCTCATAAAATCACTTGTCATTTTCCGAGAGCTTGTTGATTACAACTAGATAATACAACCTGCAAGTCCATTACACATCCGCATGTCAATTGCAGTGAGCGGTACCTAAGCACAAAGAAGCAAGCAGGGAGGGCAGCACTATCAGCTCTCCCCGGGCCTGAGCCCCCATTCTCACCTCCTGACAGGGTTTGTACTGAATGGGACGCATAGCTGTCCACCGTGCAGATCACAGGAGAGCCACAGAGCTTGCTTCACACTATTTGAGAGACAAGGGTATGTAATTTCTATCTACTCCCTAGAAGGTTACCTTGCACTTGATACCAAACAGGACCCTTGGTGATTTAATTGGACTTCTGCCTTTTCTCTAATCCCTTCTCCTGTCACCTTTTGTTTATAATTTAACAACATTCTCTTTTTCTCTTCCTGGCCCACTATCCCTTTTTACTCACTTTCTGCTATAGTTTGAATGCATTCTCCTCCACTGTCCCACACTTCCTTTTCCTATTTATCCCTAAAACCTTTCAAACCTTGGCCCTACCGACACTCACCCTAGAGTGAGCCAGATGCCCCTCCCATATGCCTACTACATGCTTCGTGCCTAACTATAGCTACACGTACCATCTTGCATTGCCTAATTCTAAATCAGTCTACTTCTGAATCTGTCTCCCTCACTTGAGTGAGAGCCCCATGAGAAAAGAGTGTATCTTATTTATCTTTCTGTGCCCAGGGCCTGGAAGAGTTCTGTGTATTCTAAGACGTCTAGTAAATCAATAAATTTGTTAATTACTTGAGGTAATGGCTGTGTGCCTGCAGTGGGCAGAAATGTCATAGGTGTAGCTATATTATAAGAATCCCTTCATGGTTGTGCTGGCAGAATCATCATCTGCGCCAATTTAGCTCAATTCCGGAGGTATTTATTGAGCTCCTGCTCAATGTCTAGCCTGGGGACAGCGCAGTGGAAGATGCAGAGAATTAGGGTCTGGGCTTTCAGAGATCTAGTTAAGGAGGAAAGCGCAGCATGTACTCTTTCAAGCATTTAGTCGGGCACCTGAATGCTATGCTATGCATAGCAGGCAGTGGGGCTATGCAATGAGCAAAACAGAATCCCTGTAGAGCTTGCATCTTAGTGGGGGCAATAAAAATATGCTAGGTCAGAAGTGATACGTGCTATGAAGAAAAGTGAGTCAAGATAAAGAAGTTGGAGAGTGACTAGGGATGGATGGGTTCTATTTTAGTAGTGGGGGAGTAAAAGGGGTTTGCTCTGGGGGTGTCTGGTGGAAGAGTTTGTACCAGAGGAGTGCTGTGGGTGCAAAGGCCCTGAGGCAGGGGTACCTTTGGCTTGCTGTGGAGCAGCAAGGGGTCCAACATGCCTCAGAGGTTTGGCTGGGAGGGGCAGGGGCAGGGGCAGGAGAGGAGGCCAGAGAACTGGAGAGGCCCAGCCAAGGGAGGCCTTGGCGGTGGTTCCAGGAACTCTGCCTTGCAGTCACTCTGAGTGCAGTGTAATAGAGGAGGGTTGAGAGCTGACCTAGGATTTAGCAAGCGGAGAGTGGACTACAGAGGGGCAGGGCCAGGGTGCCAAAGATCTGCAGTAAGCAGGCTCCTGTGAGAACATAGAGATGATGAGACGCCTCTCTTGGATCAGGGTGGCAGTGGTGAAGGAAGTGACACATGGTGTATTTCTGAATGTATTTTGAAGGTTGTGTTGGCCAGATTTGCTAATCCATGAGGCGCAAGACCAGATGCAAGCTGAAAATGCTAAAGCATCTGCAGTGTGTGTTGTGTGGGCCCTCTGAGGGCCTGGTGTCCCCTCTGTGCACACTTGTTCCTTCTGTGGAACCCATTGTAGCCCCCTCTGTGGCTGTGACTTCCCCTTTTCTATTCAGGCTCAAGGATGGAGAGAAGAGATGGGAGATGCATCCTTCCTTGCCTGCACCCAGCTCAAACCTTCATCTTCTTTTGTTCCATAAATTAGTTTGTCTAAGTTGGATGTTGTTGTTCTGCTTTCTCACTATTAATATTTAATTTAGAGGTGCTTTGCATAATTTATCTTTAAATCATAATGAATACATATAATAATAATAGTGATGCGATTTATATGAAATATTTACCTGGGTGTTATCACAGAATATTGGATTTGCTCACCACTTTCTCTTCAGGGCTTAAAATGATCTGGGCACTCAAGAAGTTTTCTGTTGAATGAATGCATTGTGATATATTACAAATGCAAATGTAAATTTCCTCTTAATTAAGGCACTGTATAAAGCTTGTATATGACGTGTTGTCTAATAACCATTCAGAATTGTCTTCAAGTATAACAAATTTAAAGCCATTTTCCCTTGATCACTAAAAAATATTGAAGTCATACCAATTCAGAGATACTTTGCTGATTTGCATTGTTAAAGTGATGCTTTTATGGTTATTGCTTTTCACTCATTTCTTCATTCTTGAAGAACCATTGTGTAAATGTGAAAAGCATATTGAGTTGAGGGGAAATGGAGCCATTTAAGCTTAATGATATTGTCATGAGACAAAGTACTATGGTGTTTTCAGCTATAACATCATAATCCAATCCAAGTACAACAGGGCTAATTAAAATTGGTTTTGACAGTCATTTGTCGAATTTTTTAAGCAAGCACCTGGGTTTTGAGTTATGTTCTGTGTTTTCTTTGAGTTTAGGTGCTGAGTGTGACACCTAATGATGGCTTTGCTAAAGTTCATTATGGCTTCATCCTGAAGGCACAGAACAAGATTGCTGAGAGCATCCCGTATTTAAAGGTAATGCTCACTTCTCTTCCTCCCCTTTCATCTTTCGAGTCCTTCGAGTCATTGAGATACCTTGCTTATTCCTTACAGATTGACTGGCATGCACTGCTGAGTATTTTCATCCTCAGGATGTCCAGCCTCATACCATGACATTCATAAGTAGAGTGGGCCTCCACTGTAACCAACAGTGTCAGATGGCAAAATACCAACCAAGTGAGCAGAGATGACTTGGAAAAGATTTTATTTAAAAATTTATAGAACTGAAGTTGGTATTAGTTTTTAAATAAATGGTAAAGGTGGACAAAATTAGTGATACTTTAAATGTTTTCAGATACAGGCAATGGGCTAGGCGTGGTGACTCATGCCTAAAATCCCAGCACTTTAGGTGGCCAAGGTGCATGAGTCACCTGAGGTCAGGAGTTCGAGACCAGCCTGACCAACATGGCGCAACCCTGTCTCTACTAAAAATGCAAAAATTAGCCGGACATGGTGGCATGTGCCTGTAATCCCAGCTAGTTGGGAGGCAGGAGAATCGCTTGAACCCAAGCAGAGACTGCACTCCAGCCTGGGCAACAGAGTGAAACTGTGTCTCAAAAAACAAACGAAAAAACAGATAATGCATTATATGTTCCTTTTACAAGTTGATTATATATTTACTGTACTTGGAATAGTACAGTACAGTACAGAGAATACTCTGAGCTACCCATGCAAAGTGAGGTAACAAATACTGGCTGAAGAGGTCATTGCTCAAAATATTCAAATTAAAATATGCTTTTTTTCTCATATCTAATTAAATCCTCATCAGTTCAGCAGAATCACAGATGTTCTAGCCCAGGGCTGCCCAGTAGAATTTTCTGTTGTGAGCCAGACGCAGTGGCTCCTACCTGTAAGCCCAACAATTTTTGAGGCCAAGGTGGAAGAATCACTTGAGGACAAGAGTTTGCTGGGCAAGATAGTGAGATCCCATCTCTACAGATAATTCTAAAAATTAGCTAGGTGTGGTGGCACGTGCCTGTGGTCCCAGCTACTTAGGGCCAGGAGGTCAAGGTTGCAGTGAGCTGTGAATGTGTTACTGTACTCCAGGCTGGGTGACAGAGTGAGACCCTGTCTCTAAAAAGAAAAGAATTTTCTACTGTGATGGAAATACTTTTTATCTGTCTTCTCCGGTATGATGGCCACTGGTTACATGCAGCCATTGAGCTCCTGACATGTGGCCACTGGTATTGAGGAAACGAATTTTTCATTTTACTTCATTTTAGCAGTAATGTGTGGCTAGCGGCTACCATATTGGACATAGCTGATGAGATAGCTGTAGGCTTTTTTCTTAAATAGCAATATAGTCCACTTTTTAAATTTCTTTCTTTCACATGACTTAAATCAGAGATCCCAAATAGTAACCCACTGATTGCAAATAGCTTGCATGTTTTATTTGGCTGGCATAGTTCTATTAAAAACAATTTTAATTGCTTGCCTTATTTGAGAATGTAAGCATTTTTATATAATTATGCAGACTTCTAGTTTCTCTTGAAATGTCATGTCTGGCCCAGTTTCCTGTATACAGAGCCAAACAGTGTCGCCCCCTTGGGGTGGGGCTGTCCCTCGGCCCCTGTCAGCACTTCACATTTCCTGCCAGGGCCCCGTGACATGTGGGATTCTCCTTACATTTCCTTTGACATAGGAAGGTTTACTGGTACTCTGCCTGCTTCAGAGATGGGGAAAGTGAGAGCTTGGCTGGTCCATTATCAAGCAAGGACACTTGAGTGTTGGTCAGTTAGAAGCCCTGGCCGCAGCTCCCTTACTGTCCCGAGTGATGCTTTTCGCATTCTGTCATGGAGTGTGCTCATTTCCAACATTATGCAAATACAGTTTCTTCCTGGTGAAAGATAATAAGCTTCTTGTGAAGAGGCCTCAAGGATGCAGATTTTTAGAAAGAAGTCCTTGACATGTAGATATTTTTAACTTTTGTCCTTCTGCTTTTCTAAACTCATTCTGTTGCTTTAATATTTTCTTTTTTCTTTTTGGGGAAGAGGGATGGAGTTTATCAATCTCAGTTTCAGTCCTCATGTGAGAAATCAGAAAATTAGGTAAATGTTTTAGAATAGGGATTTCTTTAATAAAAATTACATTTTTAAAGATTCAAATTGGCTTTAATTCTCCCATGTTTTGTAAAATCTAAATAAATAAATCATTTAAAGGTAAGGGCACATTTGTTTTGAATGGAAAGAAATAATTTTTGCAGTTGGGCTGCCATCACTTTGAACATGAGCAGTTAAACATTTTGGTTTAGTAATAAAAAGCCTCTAGATGACATATGGTCAGATTTGGAGAGCAAAATAAATGTAAGAGCTATCTGGCCAGAAAAATTTTTTGAAATATTGAAATATCCCACACAGAAGGTGCACAAAGTATTGTACTAATTTTGTGGGCCGTTCCACTGTGAATTAATGATGAATCCATTGGTAAATTTAGCTTTATGACCTTCTTTTGTTTCGGCATTGAAAATGTTGACCCGTAACCTCATTCCCAAATTTTTATATAGAAATGTATATTTTGGTTTTTAGGTTTTCTTATGATGTTCCATAAGAAAATCTACATGAATCAGGCCGGGCGCGGTGGCTCAAGCCTGTAATCCCAGCACTTTGGGAGGCCGAGGCGGGTGGATCACGAGGTCAGGAGATCGAGACCATCCTGGGCAACATGGTGAAACCCCGTCTCTACTAAAAATACAAAAAAAATTAGCTGGGCATGGTGGCTCGTGCCTGTAATCCCAGCTACTCAGGAGGCTGAGGCAGGAGAATTGCCTGAACCCAGGAGGCGGAGGTTGCGGTGAGCCGAGATCGCGCCATTGCACTCCAGCCTGGGTAACAAGAGCGAAACTCTGTCTCAAAAAAAAAAAAAAAAGGAGAAAATCTACATGAATCAATTAATGGAATCTGGTACTTGATTATTTTACCCATACTAACACTGTCCTTTCTACAGGAAGGAATAGAATCCGGGGATCCTGGCACTGATGATGGGAGATTTTATTTCCACCTGGGAGATGCCTTGCAGAGGGTTGGGAATAAAGAGGTAATGGGTGTGTGAATTTCTGATTCTCTCTAACAGAGGATGGAGTTGGGAGAATAATTATTTCTAGAAGAAGTTACAATTCAAAAAATATTTTGAATGTGAAGTTTTGAAAACAGATTTAAACTATTTAGTTATTTAAACTATGTTTGAAACAACTCAGCAACTCCAGCTTAACCCTTCAAAGAATTTTTGGGATTTGGCTTTTATAGTTTCTTTGAAACAATCAGCTAAGTAATCATAAAAGCAATCTCTAAATTGGTACATGTCTGTTTATGAGTTTGTGTGTTTGTGTGTGTCTGTGTGTGTACAGAGAGATGGACCTTGCCTTGGAAAAGTATTTTTTAAATTTTGAAATGAAGAGATGTCACCGAAATAAATTAACAGTTTGCCTAGATTCATTTTTGTTTGATTTTGGAATTTTAAAAGTAGTTATTTTTAGAATAAAGTCTTTATCAGCTTATTTCTGAGCACACAGATCCTAATTGTTAATGGTGTAACTTATCCTCTGAAATATGTAATAGCAAGTTTAAGGGTAACATTGTGGTTATAGTAATGACAGGTATCGACACAATGTAATAGCCATACAAGTTTCATGTTTTCTTTGTAATGGTTACCTTTAATCTGAGTACAGCTTCTGCTTTTATAAACATAACATTGTCTCATTAATCATGACATCACGTACTATAAATTTCAAAACTCTGTCAAAGTCTACCATGATTTATGATTTACGCAGCCCAGCTGGATGGCAAAGCTCTCCTTTCCTGTCCTGCACCGTTCCAGGGGTGAGAGCTGGGCTCTCCTTAGAGTCAGTGGATAAAAGGGTAAAGTGAGACACTGAATCTTTGTAACCATTGCATTCTATGTATGTAATAAAGTGACATCTACGGATAACGCAGCTTCAGGTTTCTAAAATTAATAAGAACACGAGATTATCTGGGGAATTGAGGGTTCAGAGAAGTGAGTGGATTTGTGATAAGGTAATTGTCTGCTAGGAACGTGAACTAATATATGGGTACTAGAAGTTCAGAAAATTGACACTTTTTAATTTATACATTTCTATTTATCTGTACCTTTTCCCCTCTAACGTACCAGTCAGCCAACTGAAATAGAGTGAGCTATTAGAATTAAAAAGAAAGAAGGGAGAAGAAGTTACTGATTACAGATCATGTTTGCATCCCATGTTTCTTTTAGATGTAATGGCTTATAACGCCTTTGAATGAGAGGGATAAGAAAAATTTTGCTACAACATCTAACACTGGATAAATGTTGATGTCTGACTACTGTAAATGAAGTTGTCACTAACTAATTTATCTTTGGACATTTCAGGTCCAGGGCAAAGACAGATAAAGGAAGTCTGTGATTTATCTCACATCTTAGATGAAAACAGCCCTTATTTCAAGGGCAAAAAGTTCACTACTACACATTTGTTGAGGGCTTGGGATTTGAATGTCTGGGACTGTTCTCCCAGCTTAATTATCATGAATATGCAAAGAACAGCACAGTTCTTGAACTTAAAATGTTCAGAAGGATTCGTCCTTACAGGAGAAGATAAACAAACCTGTAGAAACTCCATGTTAGTATATTCCCAGTATTAGTGTAGAGTCCGACTTGGCTGTTGTGCTCTGAGTTGGCATATCAGGAAGTAAACACCGTTCACGTTTTTATGCCTAGAGCACTGTTCCAACTCTGAAAGGGGACGGACCTGTAAAAGCAAAGCCATAGCCTCTGTGCTGTGGAGACTGACAAGAAAATGCATTTTGAGGAAAAATTTTCTAACTGGTCCATTTAGTGTGGTCAGGAAGAGGGAGGGCAAACCATGAGAGTCTTGCAGCAATTCGGTTAGCTGTTCTTGGTAGTCCCAAAACTTCCAAATCCACATTCTAGCTAGATTTAGTCTCCTTCTTCAAGTCCCCATTCTCATGGCTCCTGCGTTCTCAGTGTCCCACACAAAGGCACAGAGAAAACTTACTTGTCTTTCTCTAAACCATTTTTCCTCCTAGGTTCCTTCTGTTATTCAATGACATTCCCATCTTTCCAGGATCAAGATTTTATTTTTCTATTTTATTTTATATTTTAAGACAGTCTTGCTCTGTCACTAGGCTAGAGTGCTGTGGTGTGATCTTAGCTCACTGCTACCTCTGCCTCCCGGGTTCAAGCGATTCTCATGCCTCAGCCTCCTGAGTCGCTAGGACTACAGGTGTGTGCCACCACACCCAGCTGATTTTTGTGTTTTTAGTAGAGATGGGGCTTCATCATGTTGGCCAGGATGGTCTCGATCTCCTGACCTCATGATCCCATCTGCCTCAGCCTCCCAAAGTGCTGGGATTACAGGAATGAGCCACACTGTGCCAGGCCTTCAGAATCAAGATTTGAGTAAACTTGAGCTGCTCCCACTCCTCCTCACTCCCGTCCACTCAGGGCCAGTTGTGGAGATCCGGCTTCCTCGCATAGTTGGCATCCCCCTCATCTTCCCTCTTGCGCAGTCAGTGCTAACTCCAGTCTTTGTCAACTGCCACCTCAACGATAGCTATAAGAACCTGCTTTGGTCTCAGTTTCTTGCAAGCCACCCTATGCTCAAAAAGCCTACCATGCAAAATAAAATAAAGTTTTGTTTGCATGCGATTGCATTTATAATCCTTAGGCAAGTTGCAGTGGCTGTTCTCATAGGCCGTATTGGACAGCAGGCTCCAGGAAGAACATACCCCAGCTGGAGCTGCTTATGACAGCTCATTCCACAGACATGGCCTGGGCGTTTCTGGGTTGCAGTGATCCAACGTACTTTCTCTCTCCTTGTCTCTCTTTCTCTCACTCTGTCGTGTGTGTGTGCACATGCGCCCACATGTGCATAAAAACCACACATAGCAATGACTGGAAGAAAATAGAGACAACATTGATATAAAACACATTTATAAAAAGATAGACTGGGTGTGGTGGCTTACGCCTGTAATCCTAGCACTTTGGGAGGCCGAGGCAGGTGGATCATGAGATCAAGAGATTGAGACCATGTTGGCCAACATGGTAAAACACCATTTCTACTAAAAATACAAAATGAGCTGTGTGCAGTGACATGTGCCTGTAATCCCAGCTACTCAGGAGGCTGAGGCAGGAGAATTGCTTGAACCCGGGAGGGTGGAGGTTGCCGTGAGCTGAGATTGCACCTCTGCACTCCAGCCTGGCGACAGAGCAAGACTCCGTCTCAAAAAAAAAAAAAAAAAAAAAAAAAAAAACCCAAAAAAACACATTTAACTTCTTAAATGTGGCCCAGGGGCTCTTCCCCTGTTCCCAGGGCCTCCTGTCTATTTTAGTATTCCTAATTACATATGGAAAATTACTGATTATACAGGAAATAGAGAAATTTTCAGAGGATTCTAACCTGATTTTTGATTTTATAGCAATTTTTATTGTAAAGTAGATGTTTTTTTAAAAAGCAATCTTGCAGGGCCGGGTGCAGTGGCTCACGCCTGTAATCCCAGTACTTTGGGAGACCAAGGTGGGCAGATCACAAGGTCAGGAGTTCTAGAGCAGCCTGACCAACAGGGTGAAACCCTGTCTCTATTAAAAATACAAAAATTAACTAGGTGTGGTGGTGTGCACCTGTAATTCCAGCTACTCAGGAGGCTGAGGCAGGAGAGTTGCTTCAACCCAGGAGGCAGAGGTTGCGGTGAGCCAAGATCATGCCACTGCACTCCAGCCTGGGCAACAGAGAGAGACACCATCTTAAAAAAGAAAAAAAAAATAGCAATCTAGCTGAATTCATCTGTCTCCTGTGTCAAACATAATTAAAGGTGATTTTAAAAAAAATTTCTGCTATATTACTTTCACAATTTTGTTTCTCCTAAAATTTAAATGGCAGGAGAATGAACAATTAAGAGTACTACTTGAGGCCTTATTACTTACTTTGAGTGTCAGAAAAGACCCTATAGATAGTTTAAACATGCTATTGTAAGTAATTTGCTCAAGCATCTAGCACATTGAGTGCTAAAGGCCAGGACTAAAATCTAAGACTTCTAACTCTTGAACTAGATCTATAATGTTTGCTGTTTTTATTTTTCTACAGTAACTTTTTTTTCTCACTATTCTAGCAGTACACTTAATCCTTAAAATGAATTATGATGACTCAAAAATGGTCTGTCAGATTTTGGAAAAACACAATCTGTTGTCTTTAATGTTGTTGTTCACTTGTGCACTGAAAAGCATAGGAAATAAAATTCTAAATTTAAGTTGGACCAAAATAATCACAATAGTCAAATTAATTTCAAAGGTACATGCTATTTTTTAAAAAAATTAAATAACAATTAGCCATTTTAACTTTCTGGTTTTTAAAGGAATTCTGGCTACAACTTACATGTATTGTAAGGAAAATATTTAAGAATGACATCTATGCATTCTTAATTTCAGATATGAATAAAAAAGATAACTAAATAAAAAATCATTTTTATAGTTTTTGCTGAGTGATAAAAATAGGAGGAAAACAGAATAAGTTTCCAGGAGCCCCAGATCCTAGTTCAAAAGATTTAGGCTTCATAGACGTCAGTTTCAACATTTGTAAAATGGAAATATTTGGGGTTATTGGAAAGATCAAATGAGATAACACATTTAAGGAAAGTAGTCAATGTAAAGTGTTGCTAAAAGTACAAGGTGGTATTGCTATTCCCCTTCATTTTTCTAATGAAGGAAAATTTGAAAAGTTAACATTTTTTACATCTAAAGCATATCTGGTGATTTACAAAGAAGATATTCAAGTTACTATTAAGTGCTTAATTTTATTAATCGAAAATACATTTGAACTCTCTCTGTAAAAGTAATCATTAGATCAGGTTTGTAATAATGGAGGGGATAATATTAAGTGCACCATTAGAGGCCAGGCGCAGTGGCTTGCACCTGTAATCCCAGCACTTTGGGAGGCTGAGGCAGGCAGATCACCTGAGGTTAGGAGTTTGAGACGAGCCTGACCAACATGGAGGAACCCTGTCTCTACTAAAAATACAAAAAAATTAGCCAGGTTTGGTGACGCGTGTCTGTAATCCCAGCTACTCAGGAGGCTGAGGCAGGAGAATTGCTTGAACCTGGGAGGTGGAGGTTGCAGTGAGCCAAGATTATACCGCACTCCAGCCTGGGAAACAAGAGCAAAGCTTAGTCTCAAAACAAACAAAAAGGTGCACCATGTGCACCATTAGAAAACCTTCCATTCCACAGACAATGGAGCATGCATGGTGCAGGAAGCACTGGACTGGGCTCCTTGGAGAGCATATGGTGAGGACGTCATTTAAAGGAGCCATAAAGAGCATCATACTACATAGCCAGCTGTCCCTGAAAAGGCTAGTTTTGAAGGCAAGTAGTATTATGTTACAGCTAGCCTAAAGCCACACATGATATCCCTTATGGCAAAATATATATTTATTATGAACAAAAATTCCCACTTTAAAAATATAATATGGGCTATCACTTATTTATTGCCTACTGAGAAAATTTTCCCCTTCTGTCTACTTAATTTAATGGAGGGTTTGCACCCTGTCGCTTTGGGTTGACCTTCTTAAATGTGGACGTAGAAAGTACATACGAAAAGAAGCTGTTCTTTATTTTAGCATTCCGATTCAGTAAATGCAAATGTCTTTGAAGGAATTATTAAAATCATAATCTTTTTTAAAGGAAACATAAAACAAATGAAAGCTAAGATATTAATATAGTCCCCTTTGGTGTCTTATTTATGCATTCAACAAATAAGTGCTAGACTCCCTGCTGGACACTCTGAGGGAGACCAAAATGTGTAGGGCATGAATCCACTATCCATAGGGACTGCAGCCTAAGAGGGAAAAGAAAATGTACACGTTTATTATATAAATAGGTCATAATCAGAAACCCAATGAAATAATAATATTTTCACCAGATTTTAACAGATTTGGGTACCTAGCAGCAAGCTCTTTATTTAAATGTGTCAAAATAATATCTTATTTTTAATACCTTCAATTTTAAAATTAAATGCTCTGTTAAAAGAACATTTTGGAGCACATTCTTTCTGTTCCTTCAGGCATATAAGTGGTACGAGCTTGGGCACAAGAGAGGACACTTTGCATCTGTCTGGCAGCGCTCACTCTACAATGTGAACGGACTGAAAGCACAGCCTTGGTGGACCCCAAAAGAAACAGGCTACACCGATTTAGTAAAGGTGGGAATAACTTAGATGTCATCCTTACCAGATCTTTGTCAATTACCTACTTAAAATCAGAGAATGTTTATCATAAAAAGGAATGTCAAGGAAGGGAGAGATTTTATTTCTAGTGACACTTGCAAAATATAATGGAAAAAAAATTATCATCTCATTAACCAAAAGTTTCATTTAGGTGAGGAAGGGAATTTGTGCAGAGTTTAGCAGTTCTCAATCTTTTTGGCCTTAGGAACCTATTATACTCTTAAAAATTATTGGCTATCCCAAGGAATGTGGTTTACATCTACCAGTGTAGTTATTAGACATTAAAAGTGAAAGAAATTGTATCTATATTTATGAATTATTTAAAAATAATCTCATGTCAGCATAAATAACTTTGAAAAATAATTATATTTTCAAAACAGAAAATGTAATAAGATTGAAATTTGTATTTTTACAAATCTTTTTAGAGTCTGGATTAATAGACAACAGGAGAATCCTCACACGTACTTCACACATGTACCTATTAGTGCTGTGATGTCACACCTCATGTAGCTTCTGGAAAACTCTACTGTGTGCCCAGAAAAGAATGAAAAGAACACATAATATCTTTGTATTATCAAGAAAATAGTTTTGATCTTGCAGACCCCCTCAAAGGGTCTAGGGAACTCTCAGATATCCTTGGACCACACTTTGAAAACCACTGGCCCTGCAGCTATCGAGAGAAAACACAATTATAAATATTTTTAGAAAATGCTGTGGCATTTAGGGAAAATAAATGATTCTAACTTAATAGCTAAAAAAAATTGGAAGGTTTTATATAGTAGTTAAACCTGAGCTTTAACACTCTACTTGGTGACTTTGATAGGGGCTGGTCTTGGGAAGCCCCTTCTTCTTAGACTCTGTCATAAAATGGGGCTCACAGTTAAATAACTCATAATTTCAATCATGTTGTTTTCACTCAAAATGTAAAAACTTCATGCATCTTACAGGTTAGATGGGCTTCAGGATTTTGACCTCAGACTCTAATTGCCATTTATATATGGTTTACGTAAGAAAATATATTCTGATGTTCATACAATTGATTGCATGTGTAGGAGGCAGGAAGGAAGAGAAAGAGTGCCAAAATACTGATCATGCTAGAATCTGGGGGATGGATGTATGGAGGTTTGTCATATTGTTCTTTTTTCCTTATATGTTTAAATTTTTCATAATTTTTTCTTTAACATCTAAAATGAACGATATCTCTAAGACTTACAAGACTTCATTGATTGATTTGGTCTACTTGGGGAAAAGAGAAGTTTCTATGTACTTAGATGATGTCTTACTTGACTGTGTTTATTCTGTATGTCATCATAAAAGCACACTTTATAATCCTCATAATCCAACTGTAAAGTAGGCTGCCATTGGTTAGCCTTTGAATATTTTATAGCTCAGGGAACCGTGGTATGGTGACAGTTAATGCAGATTGATTTTTAAAAGTTCCATATCCAGATTAGAAGTAGTACAGGAACAACATCTTCCTTGGTAGGGCTGCTACATTTAGCACTGTCAGGTTTTTTGTTGTGTTTTTTTGTCAAATTCCACCTTCCCTCAGATTGGATCCCATTGAACTCTTCTGATTCTGCTTTACTATCCAGTTTTTTTTTTTCATGATGTCTTTGCGGCTTTATTTCTCTCCTGTACCTTTTGGGATCCTTTCACATTCAAGACACAGAAATGCAATTCAAACAACAACATAGCTGGAAGCCTGGCAGTAGGGCAGACTTCAGGGGTGATATAATCAAGGGAAGATGTTCTTGGCTCTGCACTTCCTCCATGGTCAACTTTGTCCTTGTGCTAGCTGACTGCAGGGTGGCCGCCAGAAGCCAATGGAAGAGAGGGGGAAAGAATGACATTGCTGAGCCACCACCCCAGCCCTAAATGGCCTTCTGGAAACCTCCCGGCAGACCCTCTTCTATTGGTGAGAACCATTTCTCATGGGCACTCACAGCTACAAGAGAGTCTGAAACACCAGGCGGCTGGCAACAGGCTGAGGCAGCCAACTTCCAGGAGGAGAGAGAGTGCCTCTCCATCATCCAAGGACCAGTAATATTTCCCTTCAGTCTTACTGAGCCAATTTAAGCCAAATTTCCACTCTGGATGAATTACTGGCAGAGGGCTATGAGATTATTCTCAAACCAACGGATGAACCCCTAGAGCCAGGAAAGGGCTAGTTTCCTCCAAATCAAATAAATGGTATACCTGGAGGAAGGTGGATGCTCAAAGTCAGGGTTTTGTTAAGAAGAAAGCAGCATGATTGATGTTGTGAAGGCGTCCACTATGCGCTGACATGGACCCAAACATTGTTCTTTGCTCTCTGTCCTCTTGTTCTTGCTGTTCATTTTCTAAGAAATCTTCTCCACTGTGGTTTAACTGCTGTGAAAAATTCTACCAAATCTATGCTCCCCAGATGGATTTCTGACGCTTTCTAGTCTTATCTTCAGCTCTATTAAAACATGAACATTCAGTGTGAAAATTAACTCACCATGTAACCCGTTGGTTAATATCCGTTTCCAGCTTTACCATTTTGGTCAGTGTCTTAGTCCATTTGGGCTGCTGTAACAAAATGCCATAAACTCTGTGGCTTATAAACAATGGAAATGTATTTGGGGAAGTCCAAGACCAAGGTGTTAGCAGATTCAGTGTCTGGTGAAGGCCTGTTTCCTGGTTTGCAGATGGTACTTTCTTGCTGTGCCTTCACATGATGGAAGAGAGAAGGCAGCTCTCTGAGGCTTTTTTTTTTTTTTTTTTATAACGACAATAATGTGACCTAAATCACTTTCCAAAGGCCCCACTTCCTAACACCATCACATTAGTGGTTAGATTTCAACATACGAATTTGGGGTGCACACACATTCAGCCCAGCAGTCAGTGACCCAGCTTTAGTCTGCCTTTATCTCTTACTACTTCCTTTTACCATCCTCATTCCAGCCAAAAATCTTCCAACCACCAGACCTTCCCATATGGTAACACTCTTTCCTGGAGAACTCCTTCTTTTACCTTTCTCCTTTCCTTCTATATTCCTGACAGCCAATTCCTATTTATCCTTCAGATGTTATATAAATTGTCACTTCTTCTAGGAGTATCAGTCCTTTGCATAAAGCCAAAAGCACTTTCTTTTTAAATAGCACACTATATTCTAAAGTCTCTTAATTCTCTGAGGTTGTGTTCTAAGATGACAGGGACCATGTCTCTAATATTTGATGGGTTCTCAAAAATTAGGTTCATTACATGACCTTCTATAAGCTTTCTTTCCTCTAGTTTTTTAAATATATGTGTTACAAGCCCCAGGGAAATAAAAATCTCACTACTAAGCATTTCTGATGTATAAAAAGTTGCAACAGGCTGGGCACGGTGGCTCATGCCTGTAATCCCATCACTTTGGGAGGCTGAGGCGGGTGGGTCACGAGGTCAGGAGTTCGAGACCAGCTTGGCCAGCCTGGTGAAACCCCATCTCTACTAAAGATAAAAAAAATTAGCTGGATGTGATGGTGCATGCCTGTAGTCTCAGCTACTTGGAAGGCTGAGGCAGGAGAATTGCTTGAACCCAGAAGGCGGAGGTTGTAGTAAGCCAAGATCATGCCATTGCACTCTAGCCTAGATGATGGGGCGAGACTCTTACTCGGGGGAGGGGGGGGAAGAACAAGAAGGTGCAACAGTTGGTATCCTTGATTTTTTTTGTGAGGAAAATTCTCCCTTACTGCACTGTACCAGGATAGGAAGGCCTAGAGAGAAGGAAAACTCTCTCTACCTGCTATTTTAGGAGCAAGGGACAAAGGCATTCTTTTTCTTGAAATTGTTACTGCTTACGAGTGAAGGATATTTAGAATGTTCTCAGTTGCTGATGAAACCTCAAGCATTTAATTGCTTATAAAACAGTGAGCAATGAGGCAGAACATCAGAATGGCAGAGGGAATGTCTTCATAAATCTACCCTTCCACAAAAGCACTGAGAAAAATTGTTCAAATCAACTTTAGAACTCTGTACATTAACAAAGATATACAATAATTAGAGGAATATTTATTGAAGAAAAGACTGCTGAAACTCAATAAGAATAGCAGGGTTGGTGGGATAGTAACTTCAACTGCACCCACCTATTCTTCCCAGCTCCAAGGTAGTCTGAAAACTGGCAGTCTCACAACACTGGAGCTGTGAAACCCACTGCTTTCCAGGCACTAGTGAAGCCACGTCAAGTTTTTAGTATCTCACAAAGTTCCATACCCAGAGCATTGTCACCATTCTAAACCTCTCTCTTGCTACCTGGAAAGCCACATTCTCAGGACATTGTTATTATTTTTAGTCCTGACTTGTAAGAAAAGCTCTATTTTCAGGCTATTAGTCAAAACAATCATTGGCAGGTGCTTTTGTTTGTTTGTTTGTTTGTTTGTTTTTGCATTACAAGTGCCTGGAGCAACTACAGATAAGGCTACAGGCAGTAGAGATTTTACAAAATTAATCCAGAAAGTCAGTAAAAAAAACAAATAGCAACAATGATAACAAAAATGAATAACAACAAATTTTAGGAGAGGCACAGAACTGATTTCCGGAATTGCCACATTATATTATCTAAAATATGTCCAATTTCAACAAAAATTATATGACACACAAAGAGGAAAGTCTATATATACCAAGAAAAGTGTACAGTCAATAAAATCTGTCCATGAGTAGCCCTGATGCTGAACTTACTAGACAAAGGCTTCAAATCAGCTATCATCACTGTATTTAAGTAACTAAAGAAAACTATGTCTAAAGACTTAAAAGAAATTATTATGATGATGTCTCACCAAATAGAGAATTCCAATGAAGAGACAGAAATTATTTTTTTTTTAAAAAAAAGCAGATAATCTGGAGTTATAAAGTACAATATCTTAAGTTAAAAAACTCACTGGAGGGGCCCAACACCAGATTTAAGCTGATAAAAGAAATAATCAACAAATGTAGAAATATATTTCTACATTTATAATCTTTAAGATTATGCT